ATCAAAAGGCTTTGATGGCTCACATTGAATTACATGAAGTGAGTTCTTGACGGGCCACGTCAAGAAATCTAAGGCCATGATTCATGATTTTAGCCCAATGTCGACACTATAATAAGAAATCTAAGCCCAATGTATGGTTCCATACATACATGAGAATATCTCTCATACATGTGTAAAACTACTCCGGATCTGCTCCTCACATCAACCTCATGGTATATTTTGGCCGCACATAGAGAACATCTCCCATGTTTGTATTTATTATTCATGGGGAGATGTTCCCAACTTGTGTAAAATTCATGAGGAGTAGGGATTAGGGGCGCAAATGGATCCGATTTCTGATCCGATCTGATTCCAGATCCGATCCTATTTTGTTAGATTCATATCTCCCCTTGTTTGGATATTCGGGTCGAATCAAATTAGAAAATAGGATCGGGTTTGGATCACCATTTGTTTGATCTAATAGGTGGTGTCCTATTTATTTATATAAATAAATAAATGTGTGTGTTATTTATTTATATAAATATATATAACACATATATGTTATTTACTTATTTATAAATATATTGTTTATATTGAATTTTTGTAAATTTGTTATATTAATTATTTTTTTATAAAAAACATGTATTTATATGATGAAAATAGTTGAGAAGATACTTGTATTTTTTGTTTTTTCTAAATTATTATAATTTATTTTTCTTTTAATAGTTTATTAATATTTTAAGAAATTTAAATCGGATCATATTAAATCCGAAAATCTGACTTCTTCATCGGATCCAAAATCGAATCCATACTTATAAGATCCAATCTAGGGCTCTTAACAGTGCCAGATCATATTTGGATATACCTTGATTTGAATCCTGCCCAATCCGTTTGCATTCCTAGTAGGGATGTCTCAACTTTGATTGGGCCCTCTAGTGGCCCAACCTGAACCTGACCCAAGTAGGGGTGGATTCGAGTCAAGTCGAGCCAAATACTTGGCTATTTGAGCTCAGCTCGTTGAAATTTTGTTAGGCTCGAGCTCGATTCGATGCTTGCAAGTTCGAGCTTGGCTAGGCTCGAGTTCAACTACAAGCCAAGTTTTTTCTAAAAAGTAAAAAGTATACATATAAATTTTTTTTTATTTTACATACAAAAAATCAAGAATTATAAAAATTATTTATTATTATATATAAAAAAAATAAAAATATACATACAAAAATGTTTTTATTTTACATACAAAAAGATAAGGATTATAAAAATTATTTACTATTATACATAAAAAAATAAGTATTATATAAATAAAAACGATTTATTATATATATATATATATATGTATGTATGTATATAATAAAAGATATTTATTTATTATACTAGGCTAGATTAGTCTTGCAAGCCTCACGAGTCGAGCTCGAATAACATGTGAAGTTCAACTTGTTGCTACCCCTAGACCCAACCCGCTTAAAAATGCATAATTTCCGAAACCAATTCGACCATATAGGGTCTAACTCGATAGACAACAGACCTGACCTGTAGCATTTCAACCATACTTTTTTAACACATTTTGAAGACCTAAAATCCATTAAATTAAGATAGGAAATTGTTTTATATATTCTAACTCACATTTAAAAAAAGAAATAAAAAACAAAATCACCATATAAATAAAACCTTAAAATTTAAAAATGTAAGTTAGAAGGCAGAAGTTATAAGAATAATTTATATATATACATAGTATCATGACTCAATAAGGCGAATCAACCAAAATCCAAACCCGACTCAGATTGAAAGAATGAAAACCCTAACCAACCCTAAAATTGAATATACCGTTAGCCCGACCATTGACATCCCTAATGGGGATATATTTGCAATATGGATGTGAAATGTTTCAATATGCATTATACGGTATAGGCCGTGTTAGAACATGTAGTAAAAGTGAATTCTCTGCTTGATACGGTATAGATGTCTTTTCGGTATCACAGTTGTACAAGTACTCCCAAACTATGATGTTTATGCTTTCTTGTAAGTAGGGCTTGAATGCGTTTCCTCCCTTATTTTCGTGCCTCTATAAGCTTCTTTTATCTTCGTTCTCTGTTGTTAGGGTTTCTTCAGGGAGAGAGAGAGAAAGATTAAAACGAAATTTGTTTGTTCATTGGTTTCTGATCAATTATGTCGGGTAAGAAAGTGACCTTGAAGAGTTCTGACGGAGAGACCTTCAACGTCGATAAGGCGGTTGCTCTCGAGTCTCAGACCATCATGCATATGATTGAAGAGGATTGTATCGACAACGGAATCCCCTTGCCCACTGTTACCAGCAAGATTTTATCCAAGGTCATCGAGTACTGTAAAAAGCACGTCAAGACTACCAGGACCGATGATCGTACTGCCGATGAAAAGCTCAAGAACTGGGACGCTGAGTTCGTCAAGGTTGATAAGGACACTCAAATAAATCTTTTGGGTCTTTTTATGTTTTAAATAGCCTTTAAATGTGTTTCTAAAAGCTTGATGGATGGATTTGCATACCAAAAGGTTTTGATCTTTAAAGACATGACCCCAAGCCATAAGCTTAATGTCTTTTGGCCATTTGAGCTTTTCCAAGATCTTCCTAAATATACTTGCAAAATTGTACCTCAATCTTTTAGATAAAAAAAAGTTCTTTAAAGGGGACTCTAAACGTATTGAAAAGTTAGTAAACAAGAACAAATAAATGGAAATTTTAGATTAACAAATAATATAAAGGAAGAACATTATTATTGACTTTTTTTTAAGCATTACTAGTGTAAGGGTACGTATTGTACATGTGTATAAAGTAAAGGGTAAAAATATAAGTTAGCAGTTGAGTTAATTTTAATTTCTATAACTAAGGCAAGTATCTGCTTTATAAACCATTTTGGTGAATAGTGTGGTGAAGAAACAAGGAAATCAAAAGGCTTTGATGTATTGACATGGCTCACCTTGAATTACATAAAGTGAGTTCTTGACAGGCCACGTCAAGAAATCTAAGGCCATGATTCATGATTTTAGCCCAATGTCTACACTATAATAAGAAATCTAAGCCCAATGTATGGTTCCATACATACATGAGAATACCTCTCATACATGTGTAAAATTACTCCAGATCTGCTCCTCACACCGACCTCATAGTATATTTTGGCCGCACATAGAGAACATCTCCCATGTTTGTAATTATTATTCATGGGGAGATGTTCCCAACTTGTGTAAAATTCATGAGGAGTAGGGATTAGGGGTGTAAATGGATCTGATTCTGATTCGATCTGATTCCAGGTCCAATCCTATTTTGTTAGATTCAGATCTCCCCTTGTTCGGATCTTCGGGTCGGATCAAATTAGAAAATAGGATCGGGTTTGGATCACCATTTGTCTGGTCTGATAGGTGGTGTCCTATTTATTTATATAAATAAATAAATGTGTGTGTTATTTATTTATATAAATATATATATATATATAACACATATATGTTATTTACTTATTTATAAATATATTGTTTATATTGCATTTTTGTAAATTTGTTATATTAATTATTTTTTATAAAAAACATGTATATATATGATGAAAATAGTTGAAAAGATACATGCATTTTTTTTTGTTTTTTCTAAATTATTATAATTTTTTTCTTTTAATAATTTATTAATATTTTAAGAAATTAAAATCATATCATATTAAATCCAAAAATTGGACTTCTTCATTGGATTCAAATTTGAATCCATACTTATAAGATCCGACCTAGGGCTCTTAATAGTGCCAGATCAGACTTGGATATACCTTGATTTGAATCATGCCCGATCCGTTTGCATTCCTAGCAGGGATGTCAATGAGTCAGGTTCAGCACAAGTTTGCTTCAACTCTGATTGGGCCCTCTAGTGGCCCAACCTGAACCTGACCCAAGTAGGGGTGGATTCGAGTCAAGTCAAGCCAAATACTTAGCTATTTGAGCTCAGTTCGTTGAAATTGTGTTAGGCTCGAGCTCGATTCGAAGCTTGCAAGTTTGAGCTTGGCTAGGCTCGAGCTCGACTACAAGCCAAGTTTTTTTCTAAAAAGTAAAAATTATACATATAAAAATATATTTTTATTTTACATACAAAAATTCAAGAATTATAAAAATTATTTATTATTATATATATAAAAATAAAAATATACATATAAAAATATTTTTATTTTACATACAAAAAGATAAGGATTATAAAAAATATTTACTATTATACATAAAAAAGTAAAAATATTATATATATAATAAAAATGATTTATTATATATATATATATGTATATTTATGTATGTATGTATGTATGTATATAATAAAAAATATTTATTTATTATACTAGGCTAGATTAGTCTTGCAAGACTCACGAGTCGAGCTTTTCATGAGTCGAGCTCGAATAACTTGTGAAGCTCAACTTGTTGCCACCCCTAGACCCAACCCGGCTTAAAAATGCATAATTTCCGAACCCAATTCGACCATATAGGGTCTAACTCGATACCAACAGACCTGACCTGTAGCATTTCAACCATACTTTTTTAACACATTTTGAAGACCTAAAATCCATTTTAATTTAAGATAAAAAATTGTTTTATATATTCTAAGGTATCACTTTTCCCATTTAAAAAAAGAAAAAAAAAACAAAAAGTTATAAGAATAATTTGTATATATGCATAATATCATGACTCAATAAGGCAGATCAACCAAAACCCAAACCCAACTCGGATTGAAAGAATGAAAACCCTAACCAACCATAAAATCGAATATGCCTGAACTAACCGTTAGCCCGACCCATTGACATCCCTAATAGGGATATATTTGCAATATTAATGTAAAATGTTTCAATATGCATTATACGGTATAGACCTTGTTATAACATGTAGTAAAAATGAATTCTCTACTTTATACGGTATAGATGCCTTTTCGGTATCACAGTAGTATTTATAGTCTTATTAATGTGATCGGTTTCTTTTGTTTTTCTTTGGCAATGCTTTTTTCGGTGTCACAGTTCTACCTTGTTATTTTGGTAAAGTATCACAGTAGTATAACTACTCCCAACCTAATTACTCTATAAGTTTCTTTCATCTTCGTTTCGTTCTATGTTGTTAGGGTTTCTTCAGGGAGAGAGATTAAAACGAAATCTGTTTGTTCATTGGTTTCTGATCAATTATGTCGGGTAAGAAAGTGACCTTGAAGGGTTCTGACGGAGAGACCTTCGACGTCGATGAGGCGGTTGCTCTCGAGTCTCAGACCATCAAGCATATGATTGAAGAGGATTGTATCGACAACGGAATCCCCTTGCCCAACGTTACCAGCAAGATTTTATGCAAGGTCATCGAGTACTGTAAAAAGCACGTCGAGACTCCCAGGACCGATGATCGTACTGCCGATGAAGAGCTCAAGAACTGGGACGCTGAGTTCGTCAAGGTTGATCAGGCTACTCTTTTCGATCTAATCCTGGTCAGGGTTTCTATTTCTACTCTTCCTTTTTTTTTTCTTTTATTTATCAATCTTCCTATTTCATTTATTTGACACGATGTTCATTTGAATTTTATTGATTATTGCTATATCAATTTAGCTATTTTTCCTTAGTTGTTTGTTCTGTTGGTTTATTCTTTTGAACACATTCATTGATACGAGATGGCTGTGGCGTTTTTATGTCTGAATTAGATCATGGGATTCTTTTATCTTGGATTACGATTTCTAGGTTCGGTCTATTGATTAGGGCAAACCTGCATGTCAATTAGCTGCTCGACTATTTTTCTTAGAGAATTACTTTGTTATCTGAAGATTTATAATCAGAAACAGATGTAGGGTGGTGTTGATCTGTAGCATTCTCTCTTTCAAAACTTCTTTTAATAATATAGTTTTATGATCATATTATAATAATTTGGATCACTTGAACTACAAGTCACCTTTCTGATCACATATTATAATAGTTTTATGATCATTCTACTGTTGACGCCACATCCTTTTTTCTTATCATTAACTCAGCAAAGGATTTTATTAAAATTAAGAGAAAGCAGAATAACAATACATTGTGGAAGATACAAGAAGACACCGAGTGTCTAAATCCCCTAAAATATCACAGCTGAGCCCAAAACATAGTCTGTCTCCGAGCCCCTTGCTTAGCTAGACCATCTGCCAGGTTGTTGGCAGATCTTCTAACCCAATTAACTTGAATAAACATATCCCTAGAGAGCCATTTGAGTCACCTAAGAACATTCCTTAGATGCCAAGGTACTCATTCTCCCTTCTTTATCCATTCCACAACTATTTTGGAGTCACCTTCAACAATTAATATTTCAATACCCAATTCTTTGGCTTTCTCAACTCCAAAAACAACTGCCAAGAATTTTGCAGATGCCACATCGCCTTGCTCAATTGGTCTTGAGAAGAAAGCACTTATATTTCCTTCCTCATCTCTGATTACCTCTCCAATTCCAGAGGGGCCAGGATTGCCCGCACAACTCCCATAGAAGGGCTTTATGGGTTTGCATTACTTTTTTTTTTTTTTATCAATAACACTTTCATTAAATCATCAATAGAAGATTTACAAGAGGAAGACAAACACACTTATCTTCCAAGAGCAACAAAGAACCTCAAGAAAAGGAAAAA